GAAAGTCCAATGGCTGTGCCCATTTCTTTAATTATGTTGACTGCTTTGGTAATTTCACTACAGGGACCACTCAAGATTCCATCATCAATATCAAGCGTGGAGCGATAGAGTACATGAAGAGTTTATTGATTTTCTCATGTCATTGATTCCAAGACTAAAGAGAAGGGATCCGAGAGGGTCACCCTGTTGGATACCCTACAGAAAGTATCTTTTCTTTGTTGAATTGTAAGATTGTTGGTGATTGGTAGGAGAAAAGAAATTTGGTGTAAGCGGGGAAATGGAAGCAAGTTGAATGTAGGAACGTGTTGCGCGAAAGAGTGTTGTAGGCGTTAGAGAAAAAATGTTATATTTTGCAATTTATATTTATATGCGATTTAAATAAATATACATAAATTAAATATTTAACGCTAAAATCATTACAAACATACACTTATTAAAATCTATGCTGTATTTTTGCAAATAGCTGCCAAATGAACGATGTAAAAATAAATACAAAATATGCTAATAAATTATATAGTGTTGTAAACGAACGCGTTCAAAATGAACGCGTTCGTGAACGAAGTTCGTTTTTTTGAAAAAATGATGAACGGCGTTCCTTTTATTTTTGACGAACTTTGAACATGAATGCGTTCCTTTTTTATGACGAACGCGTTCGAATTTAACGTTCGTTTAATTTTAAAAATATTTTTATTTTTATTTATTTGAAAAATTTAATATGAATTTTTTAAAAATGTATTATTTATATTTTTTAATCGGCTGTTTATTTCCTTTCATTTCAATTTTTTTAACACATAGTTTATTAATTTGAATATTATTGTTTATATTTTAATTTAATAGATTAGCATAAGCATGGATATTATTATTTAATCCTCATCATCTGATTCTAAAAATCCAAAATCAGATGATTTATCATTACTATGGCCAAATATGATAAATGTTTTACATTAACATCCTATATTGAAGGAACTAATCCAATGCTTACCAAGTGTAAAATGTGGCCAAAAGGTATTATATTGTCAAAGGTTCCAATTTAAAACGACATTTGATTTTAATATTAATTATTTGATTTTATATGATATAACTAAGTTAAATCATTAAATTTGAAGAAATAATGCATTTGGGATATTTGACCCCAACAATAGCGAGTTATTTTAAAATTAAAAAAATTAGTGGCCTCAAATATGGTCAACCATTGATAGACGCCGTATTAAATGGGATTAATAAAAGGTATTAAACCTATCACTCTCAATTATTACATATATTTTATTTTTTTAAAGATTTAAACATATATATAAGGATCAATATGTTCTTTCTGCAATTATACATCCAGTATTCAAACTTCAATGGCCATGGATAAAACTTCTACAGAACGAACCTATTAAAAATAAACTTATAGCGTTATTGAAAAAAATGCTTTGAAAACCCTAGAGAACTGTTAATTGGAGGAGGATAACTTATCTCAATTTTTTGCAAATAACACAACATGTTTTTAATTAATTCTCCACGTTAAAAGAGCTGTTTATTAAGTATAATACCGCAATTCGCTCATCTGCCCCTGTAGAGCGTGTTTTTAGGCTAATGCCGTATTAACTGCCAAGTGTTCCTGTCTATCAGATAAATATTTTGAAAACAATTGTTATTAAAATTTAATAAGAAAAATTTTTATAAATAAAAATATCTTTTTATTCGCTATATTATATTATTATATTTTATTTATAATTATATTATCAAAATAAAACTATATTATTTTTTAACATGGCTAAAATATATATTGTATTAAAAAATATAAGTTTATTTATATTAAATTAAATTTTAAAAAAATTTATCATAAAATTTTGAACGGTTTTATGAACGTGAACGCTTTCGATTTATGTCAATGAACGTTAAACGCGTTCGATTTTTGTCAATGAACGTTAATCGCGTTCGATTTTTTTAAAAATGTTTACAGCACTAAAATTATATAATTAATTTATTATAAAAATATTTTAATATATTGATTTTATTTTACGATTATAAAAAAATATATAATTGGGGCGGCAATAGTTTATTTATTCGCCTATACTAGGGGAAATTTTTTTTAGACATACATAACTATAAATCTAACTACTAAAATAGTTACGCTAAATTTAAAATTCTATAACTATAACGTACTATTTTTTTGAGAAAATAGCCAATTAGTAGCGAAGCTACTTTTTTAGGAAAGTGTAGCTGTCACAAGTTACTTTTTAAAAGTAGCTTTAAAGCATTGGTAATTAATGATGAAAATACTTTAAAATATGTACACTTGTTTCATTTCAAAGATAAATGGTCAATGCAAATAATTTATGGAAGATCCAATAAGCGAGACCGAGGTTATATTGTCCATAAAAAATTGAAGTGCTATAAAATATAGATGAAGCAAATTTCACAAAATGTTTAAACGTACTTTTATTCCTTACATATATCTACGGTAGAAATTAATGTTTAAGAAAAAAAAGAGTTTTTGATTAATATAAAATTTTTAAAAAAATGAAAATTCTAAGTCAATAAATGAAAATAAATTGAAAAATATTACCAGGTTCATCTACCCGAAAAAATTCGTCACTTAAAACTGTCATATAATTTTACCAAAAATAAGTCAATCATATTCATATTATCATTGGTGGCCCTAGACAAACTAGTGGCTTATAATGATCTTATAAATTTTGTTATTTTTTTATTCAAAATAATTCCTGCTTAAAATGTATCACGCCAAAACCTGCCCTAAGTCTTCATAATTAAATTTAAATTAAGGATATTAAATCATCATATATATTGTCAATATTTTTATATATGAATCATTTAGAATTGATATTTAGTCTAAGTAATATTTATAAAAAAAATTTATTAATAAAAATGTAAAAAATTACTTTTGATGTGTTAAAATTAAAATTTGCATTTAAAATTTCTCATAAGCAATTTTTGTGAAACATTTTTACACCTACTTAAGAATCTTATTAAAATACATATTTGGCTTAAAAAGTTTATTAGTTTTTAAATTATTTGAGAAAAAATTACCAGCCCCATGATAACATTATCCCGGTCTCCCCTTATTACTTATAAAAAAAATAACCTGCTCATAAATTGAAAGCTATTAATCAATAAGAAATGAATTGGTTAAAAATTTAATATGGTTTGTACAACAATCATAAACATAGATGATTAGGGCAAAAGAATTTGTAACTACCCTATCTTATGTAAATTATTTATGTGTACATTTTTAGGTGATTTTCATTTAAATTTGCTCAATGTCTTAATGTTCAATAAAATTTGCAATTTTATAATGGATATCATTTTTGATATTTTATTTGCTAATTTAGTAATTATATTATATTTGATATTATTAATCTCATAGAATATACATATGATAACTTATAATAAAAAGAGATATTTGCATAAATATAAAACACCTTTCATATATGTAAATATAAATAAGAAAATTATTAGTTTACAATTCAACTTTATTTATTATATCTACTGTTGAATATTATATAAGTACTATCCAAGATTAATTTGTTGACAAAAAACATACTGCCCATTTTGATTAATCTACTGCCCAAATTATTCAAAGTTTTAAAAAAATTAGATATAGCAGATATGAATAATTTTTTGAAATTGACATGGCTATATTTTTAAAAAAATTGGCCGGTCTGGCTTTTTTAATTTTCTATAATATTTAAAATTTAATGATTTCGGCCGGCAGGGTGATTTACCTATCATTCTCAAATATTTTATTTCTTTTTTATACACGAATCGCAAAAAATGATTTTCAAGTTCTAAAAGTTTCTAAGTTCAGACTTTCTATAGGTTCGGAAAAAATGTCTTAAACCCAGGTTGGGCTCAGAACTCTGCAAATTTTTAATTATATATAATTAATGAAATTATTATTAAATTTTTTAAAATGTAATCAGATAAAATAATAACTAGTCATCTTAAAAAAGTTTTTTCTATTTTATTAAAAGGATCGTATTTTTTTGTTCCAATTATATCTTCATTTTAATAATAAAGTTTCTTAATTTTGCCTTCCATCATTCTTACTATTTAAGAATTTTTTAATTTTACCGATCCTATTTACAATTTTTAATGATTTTCTTTAATTTAAAACTTATTATGTTATACCTTTTAGTTCACCCCCCCCCCCGCATTATTTTCCCTGATTACGTCAATTTATATTTTTTCCCCTTCAATATTTAAATTTTGATCATTTAAAAAACTTTTGTTCAATTTATATTTTAATTTTTCTGTATTATACTTAGACACACTAATTGACTCACTTGTTTCTCTCAGCGTTATCTTTTTATAAAATAACTTTGGCATAGAAGCGATACTAACAAAATTTATGATGAATTCATTTTTCATCCTTAAGATATCCCAAAATGATAAAATCATCTTCTTGACTAATAATTACCGCCAACAAACACATTTTATTATCCGCTCTTTTATGATCACAATTTGGAACCCCAAAGTAATAAAGCTTTACTAGATGTTTCAACATGTTCTCGACTTATTTTAGCTTAATTACTCCGCATTCCTTTCAAATTTGATGAGGAAACCTGTTGCATGATTAGTCACCAGTCTTTTAATTAAACAACATCAGGATACCATTTTCGATTTATTCTAAATTTTAACTTTGGTTTATTTTTTTTAACCTAATTATTTTATGGACTGGGGCAGGCAAAAATAATTATACAGAAGACCAGATAACTTTTTCAAAAATTTCCATAGGCGAGTTTAGTTCCCGCCAATCTCTAATTTAATTAACATAAATCAAATTCGCTTCTAGCGAAAAGGTTTTCTCGAACCCTTTGAGGTGTCCAAAAACTCTAAAATCCATCTTCTTGACTCATAATCACTGTACATAATTTCGTCGTATTATAATCAAAATTTGGAAAAAATTCCTAATCTAGTGGTGTTTAAAATTTGAATTGTTAAAAAAACAAAAATGTTTTAACATAATAATTTGGAGGCGAGCATTATCTTACCATTTTTATCGAAAAGAGTAATTGAATACATCCTCCCAGAACAAGAAACAATTAAATTTGGCTTATCGTTGGGTTGGGTAAAATTTGAGTCCGTACCTAAGTGAGGTATCCTGGATGAGCAAAATAAATCTTTATATTGAGACATATCTAACGGGAAAGCACTAAACATGTAGGACGTATAAAAGCTAAGTTGTTTTGGTGTCAATCTATTAGATTCATTGATCAATTACATTTATAATTCGAGTAAATTACTTGCACAAAAAACGACAGAGCTGGGTATTGCTGATTTGGGGTTTGAGATGATATATATCCGGTTCCAGTGTATTGCTTTTGTAAGATTTCATGAACCTTATTGATGAAATTATTAGATTGGTTGCCCTCAATAACTGGATTAAATCAAAACATTTATATAAAACTAGTGATTATTCGAAAAGTAACATAATATTTTATATGCCAAAATTATAAAACTTGAGAATTGTATCTAGGTTTTGGATCATCTTTAATACTGATAAAAGGGTTGGTATTTAGTGCTAAGGGTCTTCGATCTTGCAAATAATAAGAAAACCACAGATCTAAATTTCAATATATAATGAAATTCAAATATTTGATGTTACCTGATATATAACTATTTTGTTTATTTCTTTGATCTTTTTCAATTAATTGTTGTTGTAACTCTAATTATAAAAAGAGGATGCTTAATGAATAAAATTATACATATATATATAGTTAAAAAGATACTTTTCAAATATATCTAGATATAGATATATGCCATAACATAGTATCGGGATATAGATAAAAAAATTTAAAATGTAGAATATATGTAAACTATATTTTTCTTACTTATAATGTCAAAATTAGGAAGCTATTGTTTAAGATTCAAATTTTGAATTAAACCAAACATTTTTAATTCAGTTTGATATTTAATTAATGTATAAATTAATTAAATGTTTATAAAATATTATTGGGGCATTCCACGTCAAATCGACCAAAAAAACGAGATTTCGGACGACCATCTTTAAAATGAACGAAACTTTGTTTGATAGTTACCTATGTTGTATATTTGTTAATTTAAAATTTTAGAGTGCTAGCTCTACCAGATCCAAAGATATACGCCTGCAAAGTCGAAAGTCACGCAATGTGTGATTTCATTAAATTATTTTTTTAAATACTTAAGATAGAGTTACAAATTATATAATATTTTATAGCCCTTAAAATTTTACATTGGAAAATATCGAAAAAAATTAAAAAATTGCTAATGTTTTCTTATTTCTGGTAAAAATTAACAGTTATGAAGGGATTTTTTTTGGATTTGATATTCTCTAAAAATGGTTAACTTTAGATTAAACTATTTATAAAATCTCGATAGCCATTTTTGTTTTTTTAATTTTTTATAAATAAAAAAGATAATACAGATGACGTTATATTTAAAATTTACTAAATAATATAATATATTTAATAAAAATATGTATTGTATTGATATTAAAATTGGAAGCTATATTGTAATGAACATTATAAACTATTATACTCTTATTTTTATCTATTCTATTTTTCGCTTATTAATCGAAATTCCTAATGCCATAATTTTTAGACATATCCTGTCGCTGTTTTGGATCTACTATAATGATTATTTGATGTCACATGTGGTGTAAAAGAAGGATATGGTGGTCTTCTCAAGGAAAAGGTCTATGCGACGGCCTTGGGTGAACATTAAAGAGATTAGCAGCACGTTCAAGCCTTCCAGTTCTGGTCACATTTTAACACCAGTTGATTTATATCAGTTTGCAAAACAAAACATGCCACCAGTAAATTTTATATCTATAACCAACGAATAATACAATTTAGAAGAGGTTTAACTTCGAGAAAGATTCAATTTAGCTCGCCCCAAGGAACTCGGGTATATGCTGTCCTTTGATTTAAGTTTACTTAAATCAAAAATATATTCATATGCAGAGGACTTCAAATTTAACAATATCTCAAATATAAATTGTCTTTTATAGATATCAAAGGATTCGTAACATATTTTTATGAAAATTTTTGGTGGTTAGCTACAATACTAAAAAAGAATGAAATTACTGAGGAGATATATAATTCCTTTACATCCCCATGGACGACCATCATCATCTTTATTTTACCCAAATTGAGGAAAAGATATGGTTGCCCATTAATCAGATAATAACGATAGCAGATCCACAACAGTGACAGGATATATCTATAAATTATGGCCTCGGAAATTTCAATTAATAAGCGCAAAATAGAATACGATAAAAACAAGAGATATGTTTTTATAATAGTTTGTATATAAAATTTCAAAATATATTTATTTTACAATATAGCGTCCTAATAATAATCATATCTGTATGGATTGCCTGCTTACATATCGCCCCAGGACTATATTAGTTATACTTATACTCCAATCAATTTTTTAAAATTATAATTTTAATTATATATTTTTATTAAATATATTATATAAATATAACCCATTCATATCATCTTTTTTATTTATGAAAATAATAAAAATCTTAATAAAATTAAAAAACAAAAATGGGTATCGAGATTTTTTAAATAGTTTAATCTAAAGGTAATAATCATTTTTAGAGAATATCAACACCTAAAAAAATCCTTTCCTGACAATGTTAATATTTTTATTTTTACCGGAAATATGAAACCACTTGGAATTTTTTAATTTTTTTTTGATATTTTCCAATGTAAAATTTTAAGTGTTTAAAATGATATATAATTTGTAACTTTATAGTATTTTTTAAAAAACAAGATTTAATGAAATCCCGCTTTTTTAAAAAACAAGATTTAATGAAATCACGCATTGTGTTATTTTAGACTTTGAAGATTATACCTTTGGATGTTGAGCTAGGGCTCTAAAATTTTGATTTTTTTAAGATTTACAAATTAAATAACTAACATGCCAAGTTTCATTCATTTTTGAGATTGTTTGCCGAATCATTAGTCGATTTGTCATGGAATTACCCTATCGTTAGATTTTGATAATACATTATCAAAATTTTTATAGCCGTTTAACCGTAAAGTCATCCATTGTCTAAAATAAAATTGGTCATTTGTTTTAACTTTAATTGGAAAGAAATAACTTGAACAGATATTTAATAAATTTAATACAAAAAAAATAGGATTAAATTCAAATATTTATTATAAAAAACATAAAATAAATTGTATTTTTGAAAATGTTTCTAAATAAGATACAATATTTATGCATTTAAAAACTTTAACAACTCTGTTTTGGTATATATCTATTCTAGAGGTAATGTTATAAAGGAGTTCAAAATTAGGGTATTAGTGAATAAAATTCGTTTTTTGAAAAAGCGTGAATGGTTTTTTTTATTTTAGGATGAATTTTGAACGTGAACGAATGTATTCTTTTTTTTGAAAAGGGTGTTTGTTCTTTAGGTTTGTTCAGCTAAAAAAGTTTAAATTTTTATTTAAAAAGAATTAATCTGATTTTTTACATAAATGATTTTATTTTTTTACTCAGTTGTGTTTCCTTCAAATATTTTTCAGCATGCTATCCTTTCTCTCTGACTAGTATAGATTTTATTTTAATATGGGATGGGTTATATTTTATCATGTTTCAATTCTCCAGGGCCAGGCAAGTTGTGCCCAAACAATTTTTCACAAAAAATTAAACATCTTATTTATAATATGATACAAACTACAAATGCACAATACAGTATATACAAACACCAGAGTTGTTAAAGGATCGAGATCAAAATGTCGACGATCCTAGATTCAATCCTAAATTTGGTAATTTTTCAGGATTTATGATTCTGTCTTAAATTGAGGATCGTGATCGAGATCATTTTTAATATTCGATCTAGATCCTTTTAAAAATTTATTTTAATAAAATTAAAATTTGTAAATTAAATTAAAATATTATTTTTTTAAAAAATATCTATCTACATCATCTTTTATCATACTCCACCATGTTTTTGTATTTCATAAATTTTACAAGTTTTATTTAAATATATATAAATATAATATAAATTAATTCTAGGTTTTAATAATGTTCATTATAGATTTAGAATATAATACACCTACTATTGATAGATATAAGTAAGAAACTTTTATCTTTTCATAAGCTACGTAAGTATTTTACTTTATATTAAAGGGATGGAAGTAGCTATGGCATGATAACTGCATGCTTTTTATCAGGGTTGGGCAGTATCGCGGTATCTTGTATCTTTTTTAAAATTTTGGAAAGTATCTTGTATCTAAGATACATATTATTTAAAAATATTTGTATCTTAGCCAACTTTGTATTCAAAAAGATACAGATACTTTAAAAAAAATTTATATTGGCTAATTTAAATAGTATTAAAATTCAAAATGATATTGTTTTAAGATTTAAATATTTAATCAAAATTTAGATATTTTAAGATAATTTTTAATATATGACGTTGGTCGTCATATAGCAATTTGCTAACAATTAGAACTACCATATTTGAATCGTTTTATATCTGTCTATTTTAAAATTATGGAAGAAGAAAATAGAATAATATGTTTATCTTCGTCTTCAGATGATTCTTCAACCGAAAATTATAACAATAAATTTAAACTAATCATACTTAATGGCAAATTTTTTGAAGTACTTCAAGATGATCATAATAAAGAAATTCATCGTGACTTTGGTATTGACGAAAAAGTTATAGCAATTGTTACGATAACGGCTCTAACTTAAAGAAAGCTTTCAAGGAGTTTGGATATTCTATGGAAGCTGTAGAGAATGACTTTGACATCAATGATAATGAATGTATAGAATTCGAAATCATTGAAAGTATTATTTAATACTTCTTTAAAATTTATTATGATATTGTAAATTTAGTAAAAAATTTTATTCAAATAAAATTATTTATTTGTTTATTTAAGGGTCTAAAGAAGCCTCAATAACATTGCCTGCCTCAACACATTCGTGTTTGTGCCATACGATAAGTCTAATTGCCACAACAGATGTCGAGAGAGCTATTAAGGATTCTCCTAACATTTCTAAAATTCATCATCCTGCAATAGCTAAATGTACTAAGCTATGGAATGCAAATAATATAGGCCTAAAACTGCAGAACTTATCAAAGCAGTTTTAGGAAAAAAATTAGTTACACCTTGTTGCACTAGATGAAATAGTTTGTATGATTCTTCATAGTTTATTAAAATTTAAAGGCGATTCTTAAATTATGTCAAAAATTAGAATTTCCTAAATTAAGAGATATTGAAATTCAATATTTATAAGAATATTGCAATATAATGGCCCCATTGGCTATAGCGATTGACAAAATACAGAGTGAAATCAACTGCTATTATGGAGAATCAGCTCCAATTTTAAATGTCGTTAAAAAAATTACAAATTTTATTCAAACCAATCTACAATTTTGCAAACCATTAGCTATCGCCATAGAAAATTATTATTTAAATAAAAGATTTAAAAATATATATGATTTTGATAACAATTTTAAAAGTGCATTTTTGGCAACTATTTCTCATCCCTATTTTAAAAATCGTTGGATTGATGGTGAAAAAGAAAAAAAAACCTTCAGGATTTGTTATTACATGAAGTTTTAATTGTTTTTAAAAATAATATTGAAATTAATACTTCAACAAAATCTTCAATTGATGAAGATGATTACTTTTGATTTCTATGTACCACATCCAATTC